AAAAAGTCGTTGTCCTGTGAACAATAGCAACAGCGGTGTTCTAAAATAGGCTAGGGCTTTCGAGACTTAACGGCTACGCTACTCAATTCATGGGTGTAAACGGAAGCAATTCGCCCTGAGCACCTGGCAACCGACTAAAAATCCCCACCATGTGTAAATCAAAAATTGAAAATGGAATAATAAGAGAAAGATAGTTACTCATTTTTCGGTAAGGTATCAAGACCTTACTAATAATAAATATCGTGTACAACTTAGTGGCACAGGACCAATTTCGAATGATGCTGAGACTTCAACTGCAAGCAACATATAGCGGTGCCGTCACTCAAGACTGTCAAGATGTAATCGCAGGTCCCTTTGTCTGAAGATTATATAAGTTTCGCCATGACGGCGAGGTATAAAACCCTCATCTCTGTTCATGACGTCAGGTGGTCTTGACTGGATTAAGGGCGCCTCGGCAACTAAGCATTTTATTTAATTGCCAAGTTTCTTTACTGTGCCCGTATCAATGGTTAAAATCGACGTCGTGTCCAATGAAAATTTGGTGAAGAGTCCCTACCAAGCTTGCATGAAAGTGTCGCTTTCCTTCGAAAGTTTGGTCGGTGACTGTAGAAACTCGCGTGTGTTCTAATATCATTGTTCGTAATGGTCTGGCGGTTTTGCCAATCTATACAGAGTTTTAATACCTTACTCATGAATCAACTCACGGTGTCAAGTACCTATACGCACATAACTATTCAATGTAACAGCAGTTGCGTGCAGCAAACGATGGGAGACACTAAACGTCACGAAAAGCCATCGATCAATTTTCTAACGTGATCGAGCGTTTCCTACTTCCCCCGTAGACCGAGCCCATTTACATACTTCATCTTAACGGACTCCATAAGTGCATGAACCTCAAAGACTATTGATGGCTATCACCCCCACTGCAATAACTGAATGATACATATCACGAAATCGTGCTGGCGCGTCGCAGTGACTACAAAAATCGCGTATAACAGATCGTTACAGTACCCCGTGAAAAAACACCGCCAGCGTTTTGATGAAAGCAAGCACAGCCATGGAGATGTGTATTTTGAAGACGTTCTGGCTGAAACAGAAGCACGGCATTTAAGCGTGTTGCTGCCAGTGGCCGAAACAGAAATGATGTCGTACCGTTCGCGGTGCAGCACGTACACCCAGGCGACACCGGCTAGCAGGAACAACGCGGCCAGAACAAAGTACAATGTGGGTCGAAAGATTTCACCCGCAGAAAGGTAACTGTGCTCGTTGCGTTCGACGATCGTTACCTAAAGTAAGCACAGTTCCGATGACCATTAGCAAAGCCGCCACGTCGCCTGAACAACCGATTATTAAAAGAGGGCACGTACCGTAAACGTGACGCCAGTCTGGCTGAAGAACGACCGCCGATTGTTGCGGCAATTGTGAAAAATGAACCAGTATTCGCCTTCATTTGCGGCCGAGTCGGGAAACGGCACGGCGAACTGAAAAAGGGAACGTTCGTCATTAACAGATGCATCAAACGGCATTAACGCCATGCAAGTCACAATTAGAAACTGTCTGAAGCATAACTCCTCCAAGACTAAACTTATGGCGTACCGCACCGCCTATTGCTCTTAGTAACGTAACGAGCGTTTTGAGCAGGCCACGCGTCCAAGGTATTAGAGAAACTGCAGCTATGGTGCACGGATGTGTCGCGTATCACGTTGTTAGCTGCAGCAACTAGATACGCACCATGAACTGTTACGCTGCTATCATCGAAATATGAGAATGGGGCGTTTTGGCGCAAGCTGTTTGGGCGCAGAGTGCTAGCTACCGTCGACATTCTGTTGCGGCCTCCACTATGAATCTGCATTACTGAACGATGGTCATCTACATATGCTATTTTATTTAACCGTTCATTTTATGTATCAGTGAAAATCTCTCTCAGAGCGAAGTACGATGCCGGGGTCAGATGCAATTCTGATTACAATTCGACTTGATGAATGTGAGAGGGCATTAAGTCAACACGTGGTGCTTCGGTCGCAAATTTTAATCTGTATCAAGCAGATGCTAATCTGTAAGAGATACTCGGCTTTAACTCTCAACTTGCCTATCGATAAAAAGCTTCATGTGAGCAATGCACTGCGTTCGATAAACGCGAAGATTTACATTTTTACATTTCATTTTATGATTGCATCGTGGTGAATACGCGAAGTCATTAAGTCAGTATACAGTCG